GAGAGAGAGAGAGAGAGAGAGAGAGAGAGAGAGAGAGAGAGAGAGAGTTCTAGGACAGAAAGCAGACGATTTGTTACGCGAATTAATTTTCGAAAAGCGTTATCTCGCGCGCGCCCGCGCGCTACGCATCTTTAAAACGTTCTTCCGGCAATATCGAGCGATCCGGTGCCGCCAATCTGCACCAATCGAGACGAAGGCGCTGCGCAGCGCGTCCAGTGGCGTCAATCGTCTCACCTTGCCGGACGTGTCGGCTGTCGCACGTCTCGGCACCGCGGTAACGATTCAGGTTCCGAATTCCAGCGGGTTCGCGAGTCCTACCTCGTGACGCCTCGAAGAGATCGGCCGGGATGGCGATCGAGATTCCCGCGCACGAAAATGCCGCTCGCTGGCGACAGCGGCACGCGTTCGCACGCGAGGGACGCACGTGCGCGCACGAATCGACGATCGAACGGCGCACCGCCCGCACTCGTCGGCCCCGGCAACGCGAGACTCCGACACGACAGCACGCAGAAACGACGAGGATGGAGTGATTCGGGAAAGGATCGATGCACGAGTAAGTACGACGTTGCATGCGTCTACTTTCCAATTTACCCAATTTAGCGGAGACAAAGATTCGAGTCGGCCGTTTGCCACGTGGCGTGTATTTTAGGATCGGTACACGGCTGCATTCATTTCCTGCTGATGATTTCGTTCTTTCGACCTTTACTTTCTGTACTCTTTTTCTCGGAAATTACTCTTCCCTTTTTCCCCTCAATACTCAAATGTGAATGGCTTTGTTTCGAGCGAGAAAGATATAGTAACGGCTCCTGCATTTTTTTGGAGTTTTCTTTGTTTATAGAATGAATCAGGAGCACTTTGAAAGAGAAAGAAAGCGAGAGAACGAGGTGTAAAAAGTGTAACCGTAATGAGATATTTGAATTTTTTGTGCATTTTTTTAAATTTTAAGGAGAAAAAATTTGACAGGTCCAAGAGATAGGAAATCAATCAACGGTAAATTTTAATAAATAGGATACTGCGAAGTAAATTCGGTAAAAAAATATATCGGAATTAGTAATTAATTGACTATGAACGTTCGATGAATATTCATTTTTTTTTATTGTTCAGTTGAATAGCGATTATTAAATTAACTATTGAAATTACAGCAAAATTTTCTAAATTCCGAAAGAAGAAAAAGGAACTGAAGTTCTTATTCGTATTTTACATTATATGCTGATTGTGCAAAATCACGTGTCTATTTGAATTCTTTTTTCAGCCACTCCTGTAAATAATTAATCGCATAATCAGGTAATTATTAATCGACAAAAATAGAATAAAATTGAAATACGAATAATTACATTAATAATTCATAGTTTTGTTAGAGATAATAGTAGGTGTTTTTCATTCTCGGGTAAGAAAGAACTCGAAATTGAATATCCATATTTAGCATTGCGCGTAGCACGGAAGTGTAGGGAGTGCGATTAAAAAACGAACAGACCCGGGGATGTGAGTTAGCACATTTCAGCTGCTGTTCGAACGTACGAGCGGACTGGCCAATCACGCGGCTCCGTCGATGCCACGTTGCCGCGCGCAACGACCGCGGCAGGCCAATCGTGGGAGTGGGGAGGCACAACGCCATCTCTGCGCGACTGGCGTAAATATTCGAGATTGGCTCGTTTCAGCCGCGGGCCGAAACTCTCCTCGCAGCCGTCGCCATGTTTAGAAGTGCGTACGCGTCCTTGGGCGTGCGGTGTGACGATGTATCGTAAAATATTAGATATAGCTCATGCGCCGTATGTTACGTGAGGTACCCAATTACGAGTTGACCCACGCGGAACACGGGTGTGACGATCATTCCCGTGGATGGCGCACCTACGTCGCGGTAATTTGTGATTACATTATGGTAAGTCTTGGTCCGTCTTGGGGCCAACGCCAACATGGCGGATGGGAGATTTCCTTTGTATCGCGCCGCGCCGCGCGGCTTCCCCACCCGTCGACACCGAGCGTCGTCGGCGAGGTCGTTTCCTCGCATGACGTCCCTACGACGCCCGCAACACCGTACACGCGCGCGACCCATCGTCTTTTCGCGCGGCTCGTCTCGCATTCGTGACGTATTTCGTCACCGGCGCTCGCCTCGATATAGCACATCGCTCCCTCGATGCATGCACAAATGTACGACGCTCTCAGGTAGCTCCCTCAAATCTTCAGACTGTCTTGGTTTGCCGGTTCACGATAATCGCCATGACAATCCTCGTCGTCTGACGGTTCTGTGATTTCCTGAATATATCCTGTCACCGTGTACATTTTAAATTTTACGAATGTATTCGATCGTAGAATGTGTCTGCTCCTTTTTTTTAACACAAATTGTATAAGAAATGTCTTTTTCAAATTCGCTTTTTTCCTTATTGTATTATCTTGCTTAATCCTTATAAACGATCAACATTTTCTTAGAATGAACAAACGTGTCTAGTAGGCCGTTGCTATCGCTTCTTTATGTGTCGTTTAAAACCTTTCTTTATCTTCGTTGTTTCCTTCGACAATTTGCAATTAAATCACGCGGCTATTTTGCAGGTACTCTGCGTGTTCTCGAAAAAATTTAAGTTGACATTAAAGTGTGAGTTTATTAAAAAATATTTCTATTAGAATTTTCCTTTTTAATTTACTTATATAAATATTTTTATGTTTACTTTCATTGTTTTTCTTTGCCAATTTATAATGTTAATTAAACAAAGATTGTGTGCATTTTATATATTATTTAAAAAATAATCTATATATGTGTGAGTTGTGAATTGTAAATATACTAATTTAAATAATTATTTTTTTTTAAATATATGTTTATTTATATATAACAGTGAATGCATTATTCTCTATATTGCATACATTATCATTTTTTTTCTATGTATGTTTTATATTTATGTTATTTGATTGGGAATACCTATTTTATATGTATGTATTATATATTATAATTATTATGTTTTGTTAAAAGGTATGATTCTCTATGTTATTAGTACTTTCCAATTCTTGTTTTTGTTCTTATTTTATTAATAATTAATAATCTTTCAGTTTACTTAATAAAATTTTTTAGTTGTCAGACTTTAAAATATTCTTTGAACTTTAAAATAATCTTAAAAAATAAATGTGTCAAAGGAATTAGAGTATAAATAGAGCTTATTCTTCCATTAAAACTGAAATATACTTCCATGTTTTCAAATTGAAATGCAACAATCGAATATTTATGAGACTCAACATATGAAAATGTAATATTGTGTCAAAATAAATTCATTTTTTATTATTGAAAAGGAATTTCTTTAAGAAGTTTCTGTGTTTATGTTTTGTATAATAAAATATGAATTTTTATGCTATGTGTCATTGTGAGTTATTGTAATATAGTGTTACTTTTATCTTTTCAGCGTAACGTGCAATGAGTGATAAACAGGGTGCACCTATTTTACCACCCCTTAGTCGGGGTGCGGCTAATAATGGCGGAAATAACGGAAGTTCAGCTCAACAGACTGTCAGTCTGCAGCAAGTTCTCGCTACCGCTCAAGGCCTCAATGTGCTCGCTACTACCAGTGGGCAACAATTTGTTATTACGACTCAGGTTCCTGGTCTCACACAGGTGAATGTTTATGTTTGTAATCAGAATTTAATTGCATACTGTGTTTCATGAAGTAAATGAATATATGTTACATTTTAAATAGCAAAAAATGATAAATATGAGATATATCTTTTCTCTTAGCTTTATCATTTGTAATATCTTGATTAATAATTAATAATTTAATCACATAATTGACGAATTTAACCTCTATTATTTCTGTTATTTAATTATTAATAATGCTTAATAACTGTGATGATCGATCATTAATTAAGCAATAATTGGATGGAACGATTGCTGAGATTTATTTTAATCTGGATTATTTTTATTAAATATTACTGATTATCAAATTAATTTCATAATTGTACTCAATAATTATTAATTTGTACACATTTTTGGCATAATTCTGTAATAAAAGGACCCCGCACTAATTATATGTATATTCAAATAAAGTTGGATCCCTATGAAAGGAATTTTTATGTATAATTTAAGTTTATAATGGTAAATAAAAGATATCATAAACATAAGGCTCAAAAATAGATCGTTTTTACGTTATGATATTGTATGTTAAAGCTGCTCTATGTGAGCACCTTTATATCTTCAGCTCAAAAACTATCCATTATTGATTATCCAATCTTATGATTATAGTTATATATATTTTTTGTTACATACATAAGCAACATAACTAACTCTTTTATTTCAAGATTCAATTTTTCATATAATTAGTACGTTTCCTTTCTTTTGCTTGTGAGTAGTACTCGAACTTACGAATTTTTACTTACAGGTCATATCGAATAATGCCACAACTAACGCGAGCGGAACGCAACAAGTTACAAGGATCGTTAACATCGCGGGTACGCCACCGCGCAACGCTGTCGGAATTGTCGGCACGTCGCCTCCGACAGTGTCACGGCCACAGAACTCTACTAAGCTTATGCTGACAACGTCGCCGAAACTTGTACGCACTTCTATAAGCAATGTGTTTGTAGCACCGACATCATCGCAGGTATCATCGCCGCAGGTGCAGGCGCAATCGCCTTCACCAGCGAGGAAACGGCTGAAATTGTCGGAAACGACGGAAAAACCGATTCCATTTGACGCCAGCGACTGTCGTAGACGAATAATGGAGCATAAAATGCGGCGGATGCGCAGCGTACGTGAGAAGTATGCGGAAAATGCATCGGAACTGTACTTTCTGCACACTGGCGGCAACATGATGGAGTATTATGCCTGGCGGAAGCGATCTCCGACGCCGCAGTTAGTACATTTCCTACGTCAGCATCGACTCGATCCGGATGATGATGACGAGGATCTGACTGCGCCATTGTCGTCAATACCAGAATTCTCGCAGCTGTCTGCTGTTACAACTACTGTCACCACTACTACGACCGTCACTAGCGCTATTGTCACCGCTACTACCACTGTCACAACCGTCACGTCCGGTTCCACAGTGGTCCAGATCCCGAATCAAAGAGCAGAGGTTAAAATCGCTGGGGCGGGCGTGACGCCAGTAGCGGTGTCCACCACCTTGCCTGCTGCGGCTCTAGCCCAACTCAGTCAAGGTAATTATAAATACCCGTTAATTATAGCAACAAAAAGTTAATTCTTCGTCATTATTTCTGAGCAATTATGGTCCAATGTTTTCGTCGATACGTAATACATTCGAACTGATTAATATATCTGGACGGAAAATATGTATCATTATAATTGTATGTGAATATTATATGTTACACTTCATGAGCAAATCAATTCGATCTCAGATCGAATTGCGATGAATGTTTTGTTAGCACCCATAATATTTCTTGAATTTTAATAACGAAAATCGTTATTTTTCTTTTCATTCAGTTTTAAACGTTTATTCGTACTTGAATATACATGTCGTATTCCTCTATTTTAAGATGTACCAAAGAAATCTTTTCTATTCTAATATCTTCCTTTGATATCTTTTAATTTGTGAATAAAGAATATTTTATCACTCATTTTTTCACTCTCATGCAGAGGAAAACTTATATCAGATAAAGGAAAGCCTTAGAATACGGGTTCTCAGAATAGAGAAAATCGACTGAATATTGTTGCAGCTTTATTGGATCACGACGTCATAAGCGAAAATAATAATCCTGTTCTCTCACTCTACGTTGATATAGATACTCTTTTTCCTTCTACCATAATTCGCGTCCGATAGATTTGTAATAGATTTATGATATGTAAAGGAATTTTGCATAATATTTATATATTTTATATAATTATGAAAAGTAAAGTTATAAATATACAATTTAAGCAATGAATTTCAAATTTATTTGAATACATATTTACGATATTCTTTATAATTAAGGAGAATTGTTTTTCTTGAATTCTCATCGTTATTTTATCAATACTTATATTATCTATCGTACATTAATTAATAAAAAAGAATAATAAATAAAAACATCAGTTATAATTTAGATCCTTGTGTTAAGAGAATTCTTATCATTTAGAAAAATATTATTTGCGGAGTAGACAATTTTTCTCATTCATATTATACTTTAATAATGAATTGAAATTCGGCTTGTATACGGAATAAATGATGCACTTAGGACAAGTACCAGGTAGGCCTCAAGGGGGCCGCCATGGCATGGTGTTTGCCTTTCGAGCGGCAATCCAGTCTTCGCCAGTCACCGTTCACCCTCCATCCGCTTCCACCATAGCACCCACGTTCATTATAGGTGATTACCGCAGATCGCCTGCCATTCGTTTCTTCGTATCTTTAAGCCGCTCCATGTTGGTTTTGCTTCCGAGCAGTTTAGATACTGCAAGCTCTTGTCATAAACGATTATTTTTACGCGTTATATACTTCCGTATTATACACATATATTGTATTTCATGACTTACTTAAACTATTGAAACGATGATCAGGAGAAACGCTCGCCAAAGAACTTTGCTACTACTAAAGCTATTAAATTGATATAGAACCCTGTACTGTCATCTAATAAACTCTAATTTTTTCATACTATAACACTATATGTCCACTGTATGTCCATTCTATAGAATGAGTCAGACAAGTGTAGCATGTTATGTAAAAACTACGATGATGTGGTGATTGACCTGATCATTATTAAGTGCAAACGCATGTTTTTTTATTTGAAGCTTGGTAAGAATAATATATGTCGTTATGCCATATACATATATGTATGTACACATACATCTCAGATGCAAATGGAAGCGATTTATTTTAATTGGAGTACTTTGGAAGTGTTTTCGTTTCTTGCTTTTAATTGTTGTCAATCGTGTAGATATGTTTCTTGCCTGTTCTGTGGAATTATGTTGACAAAAATATATTCTCCGTTTATCTATTAAATAGTTATTCGCGTGAAATGTATTAATATTTGTCTACTTTTGTTAATTCAAAATATAGAAGCATTTTTAAATATCGTAAAATGGGGTAACTTTGGCATAAATTTTGAAAATATTTCTTATACTGTTGTTCAGCAGATTGTTCTAACTGATTTTGATCTAATAATATAATATAGTAATATTAATTAGAGAATAACTTATTTATAATTCATGCTTTTGCGTACATACTTAAATAAGAATAGTTAATTGTTTTGATAACGGTAATAACATAAACGTATAACTTTCTTGAATATTATGAATTAAAAATTTCTAAATTCCAATAAGTATATTTTTTTATACTTAAATATTTATTAACAGATATAATTAATATATAATTAATATATAATTTAATTTCTTCTTGTCCAATCTACTAAATATTAGTGTAAATGGACTTAAAATAACTTCAACTTACAGTTTGGAATAAGTTGATTAAATCTCAATTCTCTTTTTCTATTCATTTAATTTTTTATTGCCTCAATTCTCTTGTTCTTGTGCTGGTTTCTTTTTTACACTATTCGAGAAAATTTGACCTTTTTTTTTTTAACAGAATGTTTTTGTCACTGATTGCGAATTTCTTAGCCAAATTTGGCTATCATGTCATAATTAAAAAAAATGGCAAGGGTGCAAAAAAAGTATTATTTTGAGGATTTTTATAACGTAACATCGGCAGCTAATTTTTTTTTTCTAAATTTCATTAATGCCACATTAAAACTTCAACTGATTATGATCTGAATATGATTTGTCAGGCAATTTGAAAATAACTTTTCCTGTACAATATATGAAAAAAGCATTTTATTTTATTTCAATTCTGCAATTGTGAGAAGGAAGAAGTGCTTGTACACTCCTGCGCTAATTCTTTAATTGAATTTAAAAGAAAAACCAATTATAATTATATACAAACAATTATATACAATGCGTAGACTTTGCAATTTAGTATAATTGGATTATACTAAATGAAAAAAACAGTATAAGATTGACAAAATTGCAGAAAGGTTATAATCTCTAATGATTTAAGATTATACTTAATTTTAATCAAAATTACTCTATTTTATGGTAATACATGTTGCTGTCGCAATCAGCTCTTTGATTTATCTTTTGATTAATGCATTATCGTTCATATTATTTATTATCATAGCAATCTCAAAGCGGTGTTACCATTTTAGGTGGAACGTCGATGGTTACAGATTCGTCGAAACTGACAACCACGGCCGTGAGTTCGGTGGTAGAAAAGTCGTCGCCGTCTATAATCACTGTCGCCACCCCGAAATCGTCTGTGACTACAGCTGCGCTCAATAGTCCACAACCTATCGTTAAGCTCGTTAAGTTGTCTACACCCACTACCATAACTACTTCCTGTGATATCTCGAACAATCAGGAGCAAATTGTGGAAAAAGCTAAGCAGGTAATTACCGCGACTGACTATTTTAATACTATCTTTTTTCAGTGTAAAAAACAAATATTTATATTAGTGTCTTAAATATGTGTCAGCAATCACTTGTAGATTTGATTGGATATAATTTTTTATAGATTTTTTTTATAAACGAGTTATTTACTTAAATAATTTTTATTTTGTTTTTACTAAACATGTTTAAAACAATTTTAGTTTATTAAATTATCTAATTTATACATATTTATTTCTTTTCGAATAAGTCAATTAAATAATTTGTATAGTTTATAATTTGTATAGTTTATATATTTAAATTTTATGTTATAATGCTAATGGCTGCGATTATCTGGATATAGGAGGCGTATGTAATGCAAAGGATTGCAGAACTGCAACGCGAGGGATTATGGTCGGAACGGCGATTGCCCAAGGTGCAGGAACCGACTCGAACCAAAGCCCATTGGGATTACTTGCTAGAGGAAATGGTCTGGTTGGCCGCTGACTTCGCTCAAGAACGTAAATGGAAAAAGGCAGCAGCAAAGAAATGCGCGAGAATGGTGCAGAAGTACTTTCAGGAAAAGGCGATTCAAGCACAGAAGGCTGAGAAATTGCAGGAACTTCGACTGAAGAAAATTGCCAGCTTGGTCGCAAAGGAGATTAAAACTTTCTGGACAAATGTTGAGAAAGTAAGTGAAAAGCTAAAGTGCATACATTTAGAAACATGATAAATTAAGTAGTTTTTTATTAACTTACTTCTATGAAAAATTGTTTAATTTTTTTATTTTATAATTACATTACTTTTTTTTATGAAAGTTACATTGATTTATATAACTTTATTCCACCCCACACTAATTAAGCCGGCGTTTTTGATGCATCTTTATCGGAAGCGTGTGCTCGTTGTGGGAATAGCAAAGTCTGCGCATTGTGTATGGTTGTTTAGTTTTCTTTTAAATTCAACCAAAGAATTAGCGTAGGACATTCGTATTAAATTTTCATTTCTTATTAATAATTAGCAATATTTAGACATTAATTCATAATATTTACATGTTTGAAAAACGAGTTTTATACACGCGAAATAAACAGAATTATCAAATAATAACTGCAATGTTGATAGTTGGTGGAGTATAAGCAACAAACGAGACTTGAAGAAAAACGAAAGAAGGCATTGGATCAACATCTAAACTTCATTGTGGGTCAAACAGAGAAATATTCCACATGGCTGACAGAAGGTCTTAACAAGACCGACGGTCCACAGAGTATTCCAGCTTCCATAAATAGTTCACGTATCTCTTCACCAGTCCAAGTGGGAAAATGTCATTCTGATGGTACGTTTAACTTGCATAATAAAATGTAATTAATTTTTATTTATGTTAATGAACATTAATATGCATGCAATCAATAAAACACATTAATTAATAATATTATTAATATGTAATATTATTAATATTCATTTCAATGCTATTATTGGAAATGCAAAATTATTGCGTGATGACAATTTAAATTACAGAAGTTTAATGTTATATAAACATTTTACAGTATGTATTTTAGTTATATGTTTGCATAAATAATTTAATTTTATATGATATAATCTGTTACAGAGGAATTCCAGCCAAATCAGAGTTCAGATGATGATGAGGAGACCATAGCCAAAGCTGAAGAAGAAATGAAAACGACTAATCACAAAGAGGAAGTTGAATTGTTAAAAAAAGAATCAGAAATACCTTTGGAAGATCTTTTGAAGGACTTACCACCAGATTATTTGGAGCATCGAAACAGAAGTCTATCACCGAATAACGCAACGAATGAAGAAGAACAAATTGTATGTTTTTAATAAAATAAATATTTGCATATACATTTTTTTTATATAATATTTATAAATACTGTAAATTAATAGCGTAAAGATATTGAAATTAGTCATTTTTTAATTTTTTGTAATTAGTCATTTTTTAGTTTTTTGTAGTTATATAATGATTTTCAATTTTGGAAGTTCCTAAATCATCACCTATTTAAACGTTTATCAAAAAATAAAATGAGATAATGATTTTTTTTTTGTTATAGGAAAATGAAGAAGCAGTTGATGCAGATGCTGATTTCATCGCAGCGTCTGGTGAATCCACGGATGAAGAAGATACGATCATGGAAGAGGAAAGGCTCGAGGGAGAAATCGATCATAAGCGAGAACTCGATGAACTTAAGGTACATAATTTTCAAGAAATAACCAGGCAATTATCCTTAATCGTTTTTATCAGACTTAAATAAAGATGTTCATGTTTGTTTAGGCTGATAATGAAATGTCTATCGACGAACTCGCGGCCAAATATGCTAATATGTCGGATGTGTTGATGGACGAGGATGATGAGGCTGAAGGTACATTTTTTAAATTCTTTTTTAAAGTTCTTTTGAAAAATATTTTTATTATTTCTATATATAGTTCAGCTTAAATACGCTTTTTTAAATTGTGTGAATATTTGTTCGAATACAATTGTTTGAATATCTTTATAAGTGATTTAAAACAGTTTTTTTTTTTTAATTAAGTTTAAAAAAGTTTTAATTATTATCTCGATTATCATATGAAAGTTTTTATTATATAAAGATGCTTTTATTTGTATAATTTATTACAGTGATGATACTACTACCATCAACTGACAGTATGAGATATTTGGTTTTCATTTATCTCATATTATCCATGCTGTGAAATGAGGCATTTGTCTGAGAAAATTGCGAAAATTATATATTATTATTAAAAGAATAAAGTAAATCATATTTAATCAAGTATCACTTTCTCTTACTTAGGTACGGATAAAGAAAGTGAACGAGGAACACAAGAGATCGAAGACCAAATAAGTAGCAATGAGAGTGAAAGCGAAGAGAGTGATCACGATAATGATGAAGATGAGATTCAGACTCAGAACGATCCCGAGGCGGATATAGGACTTCAATCGCTTCTCGAAGATCCTTCCGCGGAAAAACAATTGGAGAATAAAGTAAGTCTTCTTTATCTTATATCTACATAATATGTTAAAATCTTACAATTATTTTATGTTGAATTTTATTATTTAAGTTTTTAAATCATTGTTATATTTTTTAAATTCTTTCTATTACTACTATGTATACATATCTTTTTAATTTGTCACATGACTGTTTATTCATTATAATAGGTCGCAGAAGATGATAATTCGGACGCTCATAATGAAATGGATAATGTTGCCGCGTTGGCCGAAAGCATCCAGCCTAAGGGAAATACGTTACTCACCACTAGTGTAAGTTTGCTTGCGTTTATACTTTATTTTGTTTTATTAAATTTTATTAATTATAAAATATACGTACCTATATATGTATATTATATGTATAGAACAATAGAAGTATTTTTTTTTTTTTTTTATTAAATTAGATGCTTTTTTTCTCGAATATTTGATTATCGGCAAATTTTTGTTTCTTTATTTTAATTTTTATTTAAGCATTAAGAAATTTAAATGATCCTTTCGATCCAAGGTGATGAAGCAGCAATTTTGCTCATCATTATTTATGAAAGGAAAATCAACAGTGATAATTTTTCTATGAATAAACATACATATTTTATTCTCGAAAATAATCACTACAAAATTAATTACAAAACTTTGTGTAAAATATTTTACTGTTACATTAATTAAAAATTTTTTTTAAACATTGAAATGTCAATAATGTTCTAATAAATAAATTTCAATAAATTTTTGAACGAGGAGAACTTTTTTCGAACTAAATATTCCAAATTGAAAATTATTAGATGCAAGTAAATAAAACATTATCTGAAAATATGAATATGTAACAAATTGGAAATATGGAAGAATTGTAATAGAATTAAATAAAAAATTTTCAATTTTTGCTAAAATAAATTCTAAATTGATTGAAATTAAGTTCGTTGTAAAATTATTTTTTGTATAGTTTCTATATGTGTTTTCTTTTTGTGCTTTCATTTACATGGTGTATATTTTTAGGTTGTCACTAAAATACCTTTTCTTCTGAAACACTCTCTTCGCGAGTATCAGCACATAGGATTGGATTGGCTTGTCACGATGTATGAAAGAAAGCTAAACGGCATTCTGGCTGATGAAATGGGTCTAGGTAAAACTATACAAACTATCGCGTTGTTGGCGCATCTGGCCTGCGAGAAGGGAAACTGGGGGCCACATCTTATAATCGTACCGACTTCTGTGATGCTCAATTGGGAAATGGAATGTAAAAAATGGTGTCCTGGATTCAAAATATTGACATATTATGGCACACAGAAGGAAAGAAAACAAAAGAGAACAGGTAACGATGTGACACGTGTACCTTCTTGAAATTTGATTTGTTAACGTTGCTTGAAAAATTTTTGCATTTAAAACGTGATCAATATATATTTGTACTTCGAAAAGAAAATGAAGATACTGAGTATTAAAAGTGCAACGCAAACAAACCGACATCGTGATTTTTTTTACTTACAACTATTTAACTATCTAATTCAAAATATATAATTATGTGTGAATAATATTAAATAACAATTTTATAAAACATCTCTTTTATATGAAACTACTTTTTTGGCTTATGAGTAATTGTAATTTTACTCGCTGCCGACAACGGGCATTGATTCAATGAAAGGCGATGTCTGTACTATTAAACAGCGAGATAGCAAAATTCTTCATTAAAACTCGCGTGTCAAAAATCGATCGTTGTCTGACATACGAATCCTGTCTGAAGAAACAATTAATATTTATTAGTTTATTAATTATAATTGTTTAAATGAACATGAAATGTAATTCTCTTCTTTGTTTATAGGTTGGACAAAACCAAATGCCTTCCATATATGCATTACATCCTATAAATTAGTAATACAAGATCACCAAAGCTTTAGACGGAAAAAATGGAAATATCTTATCTTGGATGAGGCACAGAATATCAAGAATTTCAAGTCACAGAGGTGGCAGTTACTTTTAAACTTTCAGACACAACGGTAACTAAATTATAATAAATATCTATTATAACACACCGCACGTTCGAAGTTACATTAAATATAGCAATTGTATTCATACTTTCATGTCCATGTAATTTTAATCTCGGTTTAATTAATTTTT